AAATGTGATGGGATTATCAGGGGTTTCTGCTTTTGCTTCCTTCTCATTTTTTTCTCTTGCCACTGCCGTGTAAGAAGTGCCTTTTGCCACCACCCGTGATTTTGAGGCTTCCCTAGCCATGTGGAATTGTAAGTCCAATTAAACCTCTTTTTCTTCCAAGTCTCGCATATGCCTTCATCAGCAGCATGCAAACAGACTAATACACCTCCTCATACCTCCCATGCCTCCACACTTTTCACACCTCCTCACACCTCCACACACCTCCCATACTGCCTCACACTTCCTACACCTCCCATATCTCCACACACTTTTCACACCTCTTCCCATTTCCTCCCACCTCCCGCACCTCCGCATGCATTCCTACACCTCTCATACCTCCTCACACCTCCCATGCCTCCTCACACTTTTCAATACCTCCTCACACCTCCCATACCTCTCCACACCTCCCCATGCCTCCCCACACTTCTCACACTTCCCACACCTCCTCACACCACTGATACTTATTACTGACATGTCTGTCTGCCTGTGTATTTCTCTGGGACAGGCCCAGCTTCTCCTTCTTTTTACAATTCTTGGGTCCAACCCAGTGTCTGGTGCAGACTTAATGCTGAGTGTCAGTTGACCTGACTTGAACACCAGCAGTCGGAAAGCCAGGATGATGTAAATTTTCATCTGGCCTCATTTGTTCCTTAGCCTCTCATAGGGGTCACATCTCCCTCTTTTTCATTCTCGTACATCTGGGGACACTGAGCAGGGAGTGCCCACTCTGTCAAAGCACCAGAGAGTATGACAACAGAATTAATGTCTGCTTCCCCACAGGAGCCGTCGCCCCTCCCAGCCAAGTTCCTGCCAAGGTCAGTGGGAGCCAGTGCAGACTGGCAGAGATGGGCAGCTGGATATGAGAGCCCGGCCAGTCAGAGCCAGGGTGAGCCAGGAGGTTTAGCTCAAGTTCCGGACACCCATCAATCTTTAGTACAGTCTCTCAGAACACACAGGGGAGTGGGTGGGAGAGTTTAGATTTTTGTTTATGAAAACTTGGTTTATGCCCTTTAATTAACGAGGGCAAAAGTTGTACTGAAATTATATGTGTGTGTGCTGATATTATCTATATAATAAGTTATATAGATAATGTAAGTGCATATATATATTATTTCAGTTTCACATGCCAGGAGTTAAAAGACAACTTTAAGGAACTTAAGTTTAGGGATTAACTTGAAGGATTAAGGAAGTTTCTAAGCACAGCTTGAATAGTGCCCAGATGAATTCAAGAGAGAGAGAGAGAGAAAGAGATAGATACATAGATGGATGGATGCATGGAGTTTCGCTCTTGTTGCCCAGGCTAGAGTGCAATGGTGTGATTGTGCAACAGTTCAGCTCACTGCAACCTCTGCCTCCTGGGTTCAGGCAATTCTCCTGCTTCAGCCTCCCAAGTAGCTGGGATTCCAGGCATCTGCCACCACACCTGGCTAATTTTTATAGTTTTAGTGGAGACAGGGTTTCACCATGTTGGCCAGGTTGGTCTTGAACTCCTGACCTCTGGTGATCCACTTGCCTCAGTCTTCCAAAGTGCTGGGATTACAGGTGTGAGCCACTGCACCCAGCCCGAATTCAAGATATATTGCCACAAATTATAAGAAGTGGATAGAGTTTTTCAAAATCATGGTCAAGGCTTTTATTTTGATGTTGTTAGTACTGTGGCTTTGAGCTTGGGAGGATCAAAATGACTGATTTAACATCAGATTGTGCCTTGATATGCTGATGACTTTTTCCCTTCAGGCAGGGAGGTGGATCTAGTGATGAAATGAGTGAGGGTTTGTGAATTATCCGCTTCTTGGCTGGCGTAAGTCATCCTTTCCTTTCAGGGCTAGAATGGTGAACTCCAGGGCCCTCTTGTACTCAGTGCATTGCTTGATCTGTGTTCATGTTTGTGGGGTAAAGGCTGGGGAGCATCTTAAAGTTGCTGCTGCTTCTCCTTTGTTGTTGTTATTGTTATCATCACTCTTATTAAGGCTGCCGTGAACCTTCTGTTCATGCTTGGTTCCATAGCACAGTGCTTTGCAAACTCTATTCCCAGGAACACGCATTAGGAAGACTGTAATTGATCAAATAAATTTGGAAAACCACTGTCTACCGTATGTTTCTCTTGAAGATTGACAATGTATCTGCCTTTGAAAGGCTGTGAGAATTCCTGCAGGGGGAGACAGTTTTCCTAGCAGTTTCTGAACTTGTTTGATCACATGACATTTATTTTCAGTAATATTTCTTACCAATTCCAGTTCTGCTGGGACAGCTTGAGGAGGCCTGCCTCAGAATAAATTCTTACAAGTGGAATTGTTGGGGCAAAGCATATGAACATTTATGTATGGTGGCCCGGAGCACTGCAATATAGCCACTTTATGTATTGGATAAGAGTAATCCAGGAGCGTTGAACTGAGTTCCCTACTACTCAGTAAACCCCACTGAGTGGGCAAAATACCAAAACAGATTTTTATATTGAACGGGTCAAACATGTTTTAAAAAGTTCTGTAGTTTCTTCTTCTTACTTTGGCATTTGTGAAGAAGCTTCAGTTATTAAAAGCAAGATCCCTCAGGACTGTTTAACAGAAGGGCATTGTTCTACGTTGCATGAAATCAGTAGCATATTTTGTAATGGAACTTTGGAGTCATGTATTCATCTATTTCTTGTTTCTAAGAGAGGTTGTTTGGTAACATGTCCTTTTATGGGTATCAGAGAAATACCAAAGGTGATGTGTCTTGACTAAAATCCCGTGGGGGGTTGTCAGATAAAGCGGAACCAGGACTTCTTTAAAGGAGGGTTGCTGTACTGAGCCATCTGTTGCACCATTACCAGTGAAAAATATTTTAAGGTATACATGGTGTAAACCCCTACCTCTTGCCTATTTCCAAAAAGGATTTATGACAAAGAGAAAACTCACAGCAGAACCAAATAATTCTTCCAGAAGGTTGGAAGGCTCACCTGTGAAGCTCGGAGGAGGTTATAAAAGGGAAGAGGTGCTTACTTAAAAGTCTTTAGGAATGGCTGGGCCCAGTGGCTCACGCATGTAATCCCAGCACTTTGGGAGGCCAAGGTGAGTGGAGCACTTGAGGTCAGGTGTGAGCCACCGTGCCTGGCCATCATAAGATCATTATCTTATGGTTTTTTTTAAGAGCTGAGGCCTCACACTATGTTGGCGAGGGTGGTCCCGAACTCCTGGGCACAAGCGATCCTCCCACTTCAGCCATCTCCCTGAGAAGCAGCGGAGAGTGGATGTGACCGGGGGATTCATGAGGGAGAGGAGGACCAGGCGGGTATGCACGTTGAGCACCGGGGTTCAGGAGCTTCAGGGGGCTGTGGGAGGAAAGGCCCCGAGGCCGAGGGTGGGTTTAGGAACTCCATGGAGAGCAGTTTGCTTGCAAGTGGGGAATCTGAGTCTTCTTTCCCCACCCCAGCTTCATTGAGGTATAATTGATAAAGATGGAATATATTCAAAGTGTGCACTGTGATGTTTTGATAATACATATACATGAGGAATGATTCCCACAGTCAAGCTAGTTAATAACATATCCATCACCTTACATAGTTGCCCACCCTTGTTTTGTGGTGAGAACACTTAAGATCTCTCTTAGCAAATTTCAAGTATACAATACATTGTTACAGACTGTAGTCACCACGCTGTGGAACTCGCCAGGACTTACTCAACATGGCTGGAGGACACTACGCTAAGTGAAAGAAGCCAGGCACAGAAAGACAAATAGATCCCGCTTATATGTGGAATCTAAACAGGTTAGAACTTGTAGAAATAGAGAGTACAGTGGTGGTTGCCAGGAGCTAGGGGATGAGGGGGCTGTGGGGGGAGAATGGAGAGATGTTGGTCAAAGAGTCCAGACTTGCTGGAATGGGGGTCTTCAGCTACTCGACAGATTGTTTCTGAAAAGCTATCCTGTCTCCTCCAGTCTTCCACACCCTTTCTGTCTTCTCCCAGTACTGTACTGCAACCCTATTAAACCCCAGGGATCCGTGTGCTCATGTATAACTGCTCCACGGGCTACCCCAGTCCCCAGAGACCCCCCCGCCCACTGAGATCCCCATGAGCCTGGGCCCCTGCTTGAATCTCCAGCACATGCTGTAGCAGTAGCAGCCTCCCTGTCTGGGGAGTGGAAGCGTGTGTGGACGTCTACTTTCTGCCTCTTCACCTTCTCGAAGGCTCTGCCAGGCTCTCTGCCATCCAGTGTGTGTGGGCAATTCAGCAATTGTGAAGACTTAGAAAAGAGCTTGAGAAATGCCAGTCTGCAATATTTCTCTTTTAGAAAACAGTCCAGTGTAATACTTCCATAGTCCAGAGACGTTTTGTTACTTTAAATGTACTGCAATGTTTGAGGCCTGGGTAGACAGACACTTACTAATTTGGTGCCAGCAAAAATGCTAATAAAGAGAGTGGACTGCTTATCTTAAATAAGAATCTTAAGACCGGGTGTGGTGGCTCATGCCTGTAATCCCAGCACTTTGGGAGGCTGAGGCTGGTGGATCACCTGAGGTCAGGAGGTCGATACCAGCCTGGCTAACATGGTGAAATCCCATCTCTACTAAAAATACAAAATTAACTGGGTGTGGTGACACCTGTAATCCCAGCTACTCGGGAGGCTGAGGCAGGAGAATCACTTGAACCCAGGAGGCAGAGGTTGCAGTGAGCCGAAATGGCGCCATTGCACTCCAGCTTGGGCAACGAGAGTGAAATTCCATCTCAAAAAAAAAAAAAAAATCTTAAGAGAAATACTTGGCCATGGTAGACTAGTAATACATTTACTTTTGTTTTCTTTTTTTTAACCATCCTTTACTGTTAAAACTGTATGTGCAACATAAGAAATATTTGGCATAACAAATGTGGATGTTTCAATTACAAAATACGTGCTCCAGCACCGGGGGCTGCAGGGGCAGAGGAATTCCCAGTGATGGTATCAGTCTGGTTCTGTCAACCTGCCATGTTTTTCTGTCGTTGCAGGTGATTTTCAAAGCCAAGTCAAAATATTCTCCAGAATTACTCAAATACCGGTAAGTACCGCGGGGCATCTCTTTCTGTGGTAGAAGGGGAAAGTGCTGACATGTGAGTCTCATCTCTCCGTCAGGGTTTGCACACATCGCTGCTCTGTGAGCCGCCAGAAGCAGTCCTGCCTGCTGGCTGGCTGCCCACAAGCATCGTGTGCATTGCCGGTGACAGTCAGGTCATTGAATCATGACTTCATGAATCATGGGGGCTTGCATCATACTTACCCAGTTCGGAAACAAGAGCCTGGTGCCTTTCCTAACAGGAGGAAACAGATGGGAATAAAATAGTGTATGTTGCCTCTAAACCTTTCTGAGAAGTAAGAGCCTCAGCAGAAGGAAACAGGGTTCCTTGAAGATGCGGTGCTTTGCCAGGTGCTCCCCTTCCCCATCCTGCCCCCCCATGCTCCCAGTGCAGGTGCAGTTGCAGGTGTAGGTACAGGTGCAGCTGCAGCTGTGGAAGGGCCTTGCCCCTGCAGCCTACCACCTGGTGGCCTTACGTGCCTTGTCTCAGCTGCTGGTAGGCTCCGGCTCCTTGTTTTCCGGAACTTCAGAGCCCATTGAATCCTAAGTTGCTACACAGCTACTTGAAAGGTATCCATCCACATCCAGAAATACCGTTCTGACCATTCAGTGCTCAGTTAGGCACCACGAGGAAGAATGTATTATAGTTGAGAAGTGGACACTATATTTGTAAAGATGGCTTAACACAAAGGCTTGCAGAATCAGGCAAAGCAGGATATGTAACATGCCAAAAGCATGGACACCGGGAGGCATGGACATTTTGTGGAAGAAGAGAGGCTTGTGCCGGAGTGTAATCTGGAAGGGAACCTCTTAAGTTATGTGAAGAGGGGGATCTGCATTTTCTTTTCTTTTTTTTTTTTTTTTTTGAGACGGAGTCTCGCTCTGTCCCCCTGGCTGGAGTGCAATGGCGCGATCTCGGCTCACTGCAAGCTCCGCCTCCCGGGATCATGCCATTCTCCTGCCTCAGCCTCCTGAGTAGCTGGGACTACAGGCGCCCACCACCTCGCCCGGCTAATTTTTTTTTTTTGTATTTTTAGTAGAGACGGGGTTTCCTGACCTTGTGATCCGCCCGCCTCGGCCTCCCAAAGTGCTGGGATTACAGGCGTGAGCCACCGCGCCCGGCCTGCATTTTCCTATGTAGGGGTTCATAGCTCTCCTCAGATTTTCAAAGAGGCCTATGACTTTCCTAAGGCCAAGAACCAGTGGCTTAAAGAATAGTCAGGTTTGGCCGGGCATGGAGGCTCACGCCTGTAATCCCAGCACTTTGGGAGGCCAAGGTGGTCTGATCACTTGAGGTCAGGAGTTCGAGACCAGCCTGGCCAACACAGTGAAACCCTGTCTCTACTAAAAATACAAAAACTATCTGGGCGAGCTGGCGCACATCTGTTGTCTCAGCTACTTAGGAGGCTGAGGTGGGAGAATCACTTGAGCTCAGGAGGCAGAGGTTTCAGTGAGCCAAGATTGCACCACTGTGCTCCAGCCTGGGCAAGAGAGTGAGAATCCGTCTCAAAAAAAAAAAAGAATGGTCAGGTTTGGCTGGGGTTGGGGGAGGAGAACAGCCCTCTGGAAGAGGCGAGGGGGTGCAGCGTGAGTCCAGGGGTTCTGGCGTCTCTGCCCAGGAGAACTCCACTGCCTCCGGCAAACATTTCTGAAAAGGTGACTCTGGCCATCACCTCCTTGGGTCAAAATGAAAAATTATTTTGTCATTTTTTAAAATATGTTAAATCGTATACATATTTTATTTAAATATATATCATCTAAAAATACATGAAGACTTTTTACTTAAAATTCTGAAGGTGTAATAGTTTAATCCTGAGTTTATATCCAAGGAAACCAGTTCAGAAAGTTTCTCTGAAGTTCAGAAAGTTCTGTGAAGGTGCCTGGGCCAAGATATAAGTCCCAAGACTCACCATCCCGGGCTTTGTTTTGTGTGTCACCTGATCTTGCTGTCTCCCTTCACTGCTTTGCACGTGGCTCAGTTCACGTCTCTGCCAGACTCAGGTGGAGCCTCAGCATCCGCTATGAAATGATGTTGGTCCCAAGGAGAGCAATTTAAAGTGCAGGTTGAGTGTCCCTAATTTGAAATGCTTGGGACCAAAAGTATTTCAGATTTCAGATTGGATTTTGAAATATCTGCATATACAGGCTGGGCACAGTGGCTCACTTCTATAATCCTAGCACTTTGGGAGGCTGAAGAGGGTGGATCATTTGAGGTCAGAAGTTTGAGACCAGTCTGACCAACATGGTGAAACCCCGTTTCTACTAAAAATACAAAAATTAGCTGGGTGTGGTGGCAGGCGCCTGTAATCCCAGCTACCCAGGAGGCTGAGATGGGAGAACTGCGTAAGCCTAAGGGGTGGAGGTTGCAGTGTGTGGAGATCACGCCACTGCACTCCAGCCTGGGCAACAGAGCGGACTCTGTCTCAAAAAAAAAAAAAAAAAAAAGGAAAAAAATATTTGTGTATACATAATGAGAGATGAGAGGATTGGATGGGACACAAGTCTAACATGAAATGTATTTATGTTTCAGATACACCTTATACACATCTCCTGAAGGCAATTTTATACAGTATTTTTAATAATTCAGCATAAAACAGTTTTAACTGTTTTGACTGCAATCCATCACATAAAGTCCGGTGTAGAATTCTCCAGTTGTAGCATCATGTTGATAGATGCTCAAAAAGTTTCAGATTTTGGAGCATTTCAGATTTTGAATTTTCAGGTTAGGGATGTTCAACCCGTATAAAGTACAAGTAGACAGTTCCCTCTCTTCTCCAGTAACAAAATAGTAGCCTCGCCTCTGCATCTATAGTCTTTGCCCTGCATGCCCCCAACCAGAAATGTACGTCAAAGCATGAGTGAAGATGGGTGTGGAGAACATTCTGTCTGATTAGATCATGGAACTGAGTTTATCTTGGAAGCAGTTGAGGCTAGGGTAATTAAATGTCTTCTAAAGGTGGAATATGAAAGCACTGGTCAGAAGGGAAATTGTTTAAAAAGCTTTCAACCTCTGAGCACAAGGACTAAGGTCTTCAGGTGAGAAGATATGTGCATGGGGCAGTCCTCGCTTGATCCTTGAGCCAAAGTGTACCTCAAAGACAGGCTGTGCTGACAGTTATGGCTGCATTTTATTGGGAAGGGATTTGCAGAAATGAAGGGAGAAGATGGGGAGAAATATAGTTGGATCCAGATGTTAAAAATGAGATGTTTGGGACCCGGCACGGTGGCTCATGCCTGTAATCCCAGCACTTTGGGAGGCCGAGGTGGGCAGATCACCTGAGGTCAGGAGTTCAAGACCATCCTGGCCAACATGGTGAAATCCCGTCCCTACTAAAAATAGAAAAATTAGCCGGGCGTGGTGGTGCACACCTGTAATCCCAGCTACTTGGGAGACTGAGGCAGGAGAATCACTTGAACCCAGGAGGTCGAGGTTGCAGTGAGCTGAGATTGCGCCATTGCATACCAGCCTGGGCAACAAGAACAAAAACGCCATCTCAAAAAAACAAAAAGAAAAAAAAAAGTGAGATGTTTGGGCCAGTGAAGTTGGAGAGTTTCTTGAAACAGGAGGGTGAGGTTTCAATGGGAGATGCCTGTTAACCCAGTCCTAGTGATTTTGTTGCCAAATGTAAAGAAATACTAGGAGTTATTCCTGTGTAGGCACATCTTTAGTCTCATCTATAGAATTCCTCAGTTCTCTTAAACCAGATGCCACTAGAGACATTTCAGGCCACAGTCTGTCCCTTGAGATGATTTGGTATGTTGGCTTCTAAATAGATTGGCTTCTCTAATTTAATCATGACTCCCTTGAAATAAAACATGAGCCATTAGTCTAGAACTAGTTGAAACTTTCCACTCCAATCTATTCCTGTGGTAATTCACTGGTTTTGAAGATAATTTATATTCAGCCCAGCCAAGAACCACTTTATTTTTCACTTAAAACCTCCTCTGCCCTCCCACATCTGCTAGCTCAGAGTTTTGCTGGAGTGGAAGGCAGTTTGATTCAGGCTTTCTCTTTCTCAGTCCATGTATTTTAATTTATTTGGTTTAAGAAATGTGAACATTGGGCATGGGAGTGCTCAAGAACACGTTGATTTTAAACATTTTCAACTGTTTGCCCTCTAGCTTTGTGATTTTTTAAATAAGTAAAAAATATAGTGAGCCAGGTTTTCTTTTTTTTTTTTAAAGAGACAAGGTCTCAACCAGGCTGGAGTGCAGTGGCGGTGGTGCAATCATAGCTCACTACAGCCTTAATCTCCTGGGCTCAAGCGATCCTCCTGCCTCAGCTTCCTAAGTAGCTGGGAATACATGTGTACGTCGCTACATCCAGCTACCAAAAAAAAAATTTTTTTTGTAGAGACAGTGTCTTGCTATGTTGCCCAGGCTGGCCTTGAACTCCTGGACTCAAGCAACTCTCCCTCCTTGGCTTCACAGAGTGCTGGGATTATAGGTACACGCCACCACGCCTGGCCTGCTTTTCCGTTTCTTTAAGTGAAAAAGCAGTGGCTTATGTTTGTAATCCTAGCGCTTTGGGAGGCTGAGGTGGGAGCATCACTTGAACCCTGGAATTCAAGACCAGCTGTGACAACAGAGCAAGATCCCATTGCTAAAAAAAAAAAAAAAAAAAAAAAAATTCAGCTGGGCGTGGTGGTGCGCGCCTGTATTCCCAGCTACTCAGAATGCCGAGGTGAGAGACTCGCTTGAGCCTAGGAGATTGAAGCTGCAGTGAGCTGTGATTGCACTACTGCTCTCTAGCCCGGTGACAGAGCAAGACCTGACCCAAAAAAAAAAAAAAAAAAAAAGGGAAGAAAGGGAGGGAACAAAAGAGAAAGGAAGAAAGGAAGGGAAGGAAAGAGAGAGAAAGGAAGGGAGGGAGGGGAACAGAAAGAGGAAGGAAGGAGGGAGGGAGGGAAGAAGGAAGGAAGGAAGCGATGGTATTGAGAGATACATTTAAAGCATGCTTTACAGCCCCTTGCTTCTGTCGCCTCCCAGTGGGAGGTGGTCAGGCGCTGCTGTGTTGGCTGCCTTGAAGACTCGCCTCGCGCCTGCATCTGCTGGCCAGCAGCACTGATCCTTCTGGTCCTACAAGCAAAGTGGTCTTCCCAGATGCGGGGTCACACTGATTGTTTTATTTCTTTGGGTCATTTCTGTCATCATG